TTATCGAAAAAAATCTAAATAACCGTGGGAGGAATAATATATTTCACAAAACCCCACAGAACTAAACCTCTCAGATGTTCTTGTGCAACTACAATGCTTTTTTTTCTGGATCTCCTCCCAGGGGGCAAATCAGTTGCATTATTCTGGAATTAGCCTAATGAAGGAACATTTAATTTGCAGTGTGCAAAATTCAAGCTAATTTCCAGCATATTATGCATTATGTAATCACGAGATGCAGGGGTGCACCTCCCACCTAGTCATGTTTGTCATCCGTACAGCCAACTGTGCAACAGATGAATACCAGAGAGGAGAATCTGGGAGGCCAAGGGGTACATAAATCTGGGATTATGAAATTGCTGTAAGTAATGGTATTGCTGCTGGTCTCCCTCGAACCAGAAGGCTCTAACACTAAATAGATACAGTACATACCATTTTAACAGCAAATAACACCGGTAGCGCTCAAATTCTTAACACCATCCTGATGAACTGCTAAGAATTGCAGTCACATATCATGCTTGGATTCAGCCACCACATGATTTGTCCCGCTGCACATCTGTGTGCAGTTACGCTCTGCATAAATATGAGCCGAGTTGTGTGTCACTGCGCTCCGAGACTAACTCTTCGGAGCAGGCTGGAGCTCGGTCTGCCTCCAGCACAAACAGAAATCACAACTGATAAACAACTTGGAGCACAAATGCATACGTACACTCCGTGCCCTGAGCTTCACCCTCTCCGGGGGTCGTGTCCCAGCCACGTGGGTCCGTTTTACATAACACCACTAGTGCTGTCAGTCTAACCTGGCGCTGGTTTGGATTACATGCACAGTGAGACGAGCCTGTCGCACTCTGGAAAACTGTGAGGAATTTACAAACGTGAGGTTTGCTGTAGATTCGGCTGCTTAAAGAGCAGTGCTAAATAAACACTTGTATAATTCGATAACACCTTAGGATAATTACCGTTTCCTCCATCATTCATTGGTAATAATGGCACAATAGTCATAAATAGAATTTGCTGGGATCTACAAAAATTCAGCAACGTGGTAAAAAGTAAAACAGCAACTAGAACACAAGACAAACCACTTTTAGATATATTTTAAGATATTCAGTGCATATATTTATAATGTAATCAGCCCAATCACAAGTTGCATATTGCAACATAGCTGTTTCCAAACAAGTGCTGACATTACAAAATTATGTAGTATGTAATCACAGGTTAAAGGTGAGAAGTTCATCTCTGCGACGTCTCTAAATCAAGGAATCTCTGTATGTGTGCACGATGTGGTTTGGATGAGTAGTTCTAATATTCAAGATGCTTTCTGCTACACAAAGCCTGCTAGTGAAGCATTAAGGAAACATCTGTAAATCCTTTAGCCAAACCATCCACCACCAGAAATACATTCTCAAACCGCTGGAAATACTGCAGTAAAATTAAGTTTTAATATTTGTGAAAGTGCACCATGAATCTAAAGCGGCAAACTCAGTTTATCATGAATCTAAGAAACGTCTCTGACATCATCGTCCATTAACGTATGCACACTTTCTTAAAGTTACAAAATAACACCATTAACAGTTTTTTCTTTACAAATGTTTTACTTGCCACGCACTGAGGAAGGTGGTGGCAAATAAATAATGAATTAAAATAATAAGCTGCCTCTCCAAAGAGTCAAACTTCATGCCAATAACTTCATTCAGAGTTCAGGGTAAGATGAGGAGAATACCTAGTGACTAAATCAGAGCGTGGCAGGCTTTGTATACCTCAACTCACCAATCACATCTAGGCTTAACTGAATACTACCGATATGTTTGGTTGAAAATTCCTATAAGGCATCCTTATGGAGCACATTTTGGGAAGCAATTTTAGGAGCTACAGGTTATTTTGGGACTGGAACAGAGATCCCCCTCCAGATGGTGAAGAAATAAAATAATTGGCCTCTGAGGAAAAAGATAATAAAATTCGTTCACATGGTTTTCCTGGAGAAAATGCTGCAAGCGATCACTGATTTAATTTGTCCCCAAAAGAAAGAAAACATCCTCTCCACTTCATAATCTAATGTTTCACTCAGTTCTGCTGAAGGTCACCAAACTCCTCCATCACACGGGACAAAAAAGAAAATAATAAATAAATAAATCAGCACGACACCGGCTCAGCAACTGTAAAACGCAGCACAGACGCTCAAACTGTCTCCATAAAATTCACCCAAATTTGTTGCAACTGATTCATTTTTTGTGTTGTTATTCTAAAAGACGAACTGGGTTTGAAGTAGCTCAGTCTGCCTTTTCCTCATTTCCCCAACCGTGACGGGTTATTTTTAAACGCTAGTTATTGCATAACTGGAGTCCAAAAGGAGTGTTTCTGGCTCTCGTCCCACTACGGATGTTCAATTTTAGCCTTTGCCCCTCAGAGCCAAAAGAACGCACCCCTGAGACATATACAGTCTCTTCCTATACAAGCTGGTGCCTGCTGGAAAAAAAGCCCTGTAATTACAGCAGACCTGAACTCCTTAAAAAACACACACACATACTGGATTGACACAGTCAAGATAATTAATCCTTTCAAAACTGTATTTTTCTGTGTAGAAGCCGACAGATTGGACGTTATGTACCATCTCTCCATGTCTGCGTTTCTTTCTCGCATTGCTGCTGCAAAACAACAACATCTCAGCTCAAGATGCGTTTTCCAAACGTGCCTGCTCTTAAAGGACTGTGCTGAAACACAGTGTGAGTGGGGAGGCAGAAAGACAAAGGACGTCTTCAGCAAAAGAAAAAAAAAATTTGTTGAACAATAGTGCATGTAGTGAACAGAAGGGAGGGAAGGAATTTCAAAAATCCATCAGGCAAGAAGAGGAGCGAGGACAAGCAGTAGATGTGATGAATGCAAGCTGTCCAGAGGAAAGATGAATGCAGGAATAAAGAGTAAAATAAGAAAAAGAAAAGTAAGTTGGAGGGCGCAAATTACAGAGTACATGAGAAAAAAAGTTTCAGGAGAGTCCAGTAGTCTTGGGGTTTTGGGTCCTGCTGGGGCCTGCCAGCCCACCGCGGCAAAAACACTCGAACAAAAGGATCATTTATTGGAGGAGGAGGAAAGAGGGGGAGGGATGAAAGGAGGAGGAACACTGTACAGAGGCATTTGAGAGCTGTGTGAGTGAGGACTGGCCCCATCTCAACATTCACAGCCAATGTGTAACATTCCCCCCCCTCCCGCCCCAAACGCTGCACCGCTGATGTTCTCAGCAGCCAGAGCCCATATGGTCCTTCTGCGGTAGCATGCTAGCATCTCGATGTAAAATACACAGAAAACTCATGCATCTTCCACAGAGACGGCCTCACGTCTCCAAATAAAAGTAACGCAGTGAGGTATGGACACAAGCCGGTGGTTCATTTCCATCCGTGGAATGAAACCCAACTGTTGAGCCGCGCTCATTGAAGGATCCCATGATGAATTTCTGCTAATGCCTCAAATTCTTCATTGATTCCAACGTTTACCACAAAAAACAACAACAAAAAAATGAAAAAATCCCAGAGAGGATTTAGGTCCAGCACGGCCCATGGTGCAAATCACGTGGAAGCAAACAGGGCTTCATAAGCGGCGAGGCTTGGCAGGATGCATGCATCACAAGAGACCCACTGTGGAAGCTTAAGCAAGACTACTGAGTGTTTTACTGATGCATATAAATTCCCCCCATCTCCATTTAAATGCTGCTCTATCTGCTTAAACTGCAGGCGTCCGTTGCTTAACGGGCCAATTTAGTGCAGACAGAGGTTCAAAGGGAATGTTTTTCTATGAGGAAAATGCCTCAAAGGGAGTTAGTTAAGGCATTGTTTAGCCACGGTGGTCCCCCACAGCTAGAAAATTGCTCCACACAGGAGGAGAAAATGTAAATACAATGAAAATCCATTATCCAGCCTCGATGACCTCATTGAATGTGCAGAGAAAAAAAAATGCTGACTTTAAATGCATCAGGAACTCTACACATAAAGTGCATGTGATTACAGGAAAACACTCATCATAAAACATTTTTGTTAACTCTGCAGTGGGCTCAACTAAACATTCAAAGCTTTCAGATTAAGTAATGTACAAATCACAGCACGCAATGCTTTCAGGGCCAAATCTACAAACCTGGAACTTCTTTCAAGTCTTTGCATACTTTCCTACATACGTTTTAGAGCTCTAGAAGTGCAAAAAAAAGAAGAAGATGATAAAAAAAAGAAAAGAATTATAATTCAAAATTTCTTTCTCTCACAACAATCTCCTCAAGTGTCATAATGGAGCATTTTAATTTGACAGGTCAACAGAAAACAGGGTCAAAGATAATCTTTATTGAACTTAAAGCAGAACGCTTCAGTGGCAATTGTGAATGGTTTCCTTTGCTAAGAGTGGGACTGCAGCGAGATGTCTCAGACAGCTCTTCTCCTCAACAAACAATGGCTCAATCAGAGCAGAATGATTCTGATGTTTGTCATAAACGTATTAAAAACGGATCCCAGTTCTGCTTTTAAACTCCCAATAGGGAAAAGCAGCACTGAGCACGCATGGACAATATTCAAGAAGCCTCAGATCAATAGCAATTTCCACAACTTCGATATTTACTGATATTTCAGGAGTCTGTCTGACCTTTAACACCTTATCTAATCATATCAGGTGAAGAGTTTCTGTACACCAAAGCTCACAGAGGTAAATCAATTCATGATTTGTCAGAACAGCTAAGCTTTGGCTCTTACTGCAGATTATGCAGACAGTCACACAAATAAACAAGTCTCTACATTTCAATCTGGCGCCAGGTAAAGTTTGAATACAAACATCGATGGATAGGGAGGCTGTGCTCTATTGGATTATCTTGAAAGCATATTCTTTTTCATTCTGAGCCATGTGATTCCAGGAAAAGAAAGAGAGATAGAAAACCTATGAGCATAGTGGTGACATAGAGATCACAGAGTCTGTATGAAGACAAAGACATGAAGGGGGGG